GTTAATATAAAAAATATTTTTTGTCCGATTCATCGATTAATCGAAAAAATAATCGGCCGATTTCTTCAATTTTTAAAATAATCGTTAGTTGCAGCCCTACCTGCAACACCTATTAAACGCGGGCGAGAGCGTGCACAAGCATATTTTCCTCGTGCGCGCTCTATTTAAAAGTTGCTGCTTGCGTCGCTCATTCAAGCTTACTTTCCAAAAGACGATTTGCAGTTTTTCTTGTCAGACTCACCACTAGTAATTGAAAATGGATGAGCACGTAGGACGGCCTTACGTAAACGTATCACCAGAATGACTGACAATTAGGAGAACCAATTATTTTGATGATCCACCCGGAAAAAGAACATCCTCAGCTATACCTTTAAGTAACATTTTTAACACTGTTCATTAGTCTAATGTTAAAAGAGATCAAAAGCTGGTTCCCCTTATTCGTTTTACTCTGAGTTTAAAACTTTGCAAGAACATAATTAAGATGATGAGAAATCAGCATTTTTTTGTCTTTCTTACTACGTTTCCACTGGTTTTCTTTGGCTGTAATACTCTGTTTTTTTCATTGCATCAAGTTGCATCGTTTGGGCTCGTGTGCTGAGAGCTGCATTACGAAGCCCGACTATAACTCATTTTAAGGATTGTCTTCCTGTAAACAAATCAGCAATACTTTATGTTGCTTCATCACATCAAAACTTACTTAAATAGTTTGTTGTTTTTGATTGGATGAAATTTGTTTGTGTGATATTAACATTATATTATACAAACTAAGTATTTGCAAATCAGTTATACCTGCTTCCCAGTCATCCAGGTCAGAGTTATTCCAAAAAAGTTAAAAAACCATCCACTGGACTTTGTTTTCTAAGTCTGAGGATGTTTCTCTTTCCATCCATGAAGCTTTTTCAATTCAAAATGTCAGAAATAGAATTAAGTTTTAGGCTCTATGTCGCCTTTAAAGGGGAACAGAAGACCTTGCATATTCAGCCAGGCCATCTATTCCCTTTAACGACCCCCCCTTTCAGAGTCATAGAGTATGGGGCATCGCAAGCTAACAAAAGAAGCCAAACGACCCCCATTCCAAAAAGGTGAACCCGTTGGTCTATTTCAATTTGCTTGTTTTCTAAACAAAAACAAGGTTTTGATTTGCTGCTGTATAAAACCTCGAACTCAACGCTATTTCTGACATTTTGAATTAAAAAAAGCTTCTTGGTTGGGAAGCGAAACATCTTCACACTTGGAAACAAAGTCCAGTGGATTGTTTTTTTTTTTTTACTTTTTTGGAATCAGGTATACAATAAAATTGCAATGCTTATCGAGTTGGTGTGAATTATACATAAAAATCTTTACAAACATAGTAAAATATTAAAAGAAAATAGGAACAAGAAAGGTATAAAATGAGATAATGCATATTACATCATTTACCCATTGCTCTAGCATAAACACTTAGGAGTTCAGGGACCTGAGGCCCAGGGAAAAAACCTTCACCCCGTAGACTCACCAAACGGCAGCTCGAAGCGGGTATCCAGCAGAACCCGATGAGGCGTTGGGTTCTTGGTGCCATAAATCTCATCAGCCTTCATTAAAACCTCTGCATCCAGGAAAATCCACTCTCCAGATCCCTCCTGTTAGCAGACATATTCATTTTATCCAAACCTGAGTGAGTGATGTCACTTATCTCCACGCGGGTTCGTGCTCCAACCTCTTCAGACTGCCGGATGGTCTTCAGAGGAATCCAGGCCGTCCCCACCATGGTGTCCCAGATGAGACCTTTGTCCCAGACCTCGACGATGAGACCGAGGTCCAGCCGGTTGATCTCGCTGAGGAGCAGAATCAGGGAGGAAGATCAGCATGTGATAGCAGACAAATACTGTGGTAATTCCTGATGCAGAGGGTGGAAAACAGAAAGCTTTGTTGTTTGGAAAACCATCAAACTAAAAAAACACTTTCCAGTCTGGCGTTCAGTTCACTTTTAATGGAGCTGAGATTTCAACATAATTACTGTCAGGATCCAAACACAGCCTCATGACAAAAGGTCCTTTTTGTTATGTTTTAGCCGTCATCATCCACCTCTGCCTTTTTCCATTCAACAGGCCACTCAAAGGGCTCCACAAGTGCTTGATGATGCAAAAGCATGGACATGCATTTAGAAAGGAGCTGCATGACTGGGACATTTGCATACTCTCATCGTGGAAGTTTAGAAAGATCGAGAAAGCAAACAAAAGGAAGATGCGAGAAAAGATAATCAAAGGCTGAGGATAATTGGGAGCGATGGAGAAGAGGACGGAGCGGAGCGTCCAGGGCAGCCAGGTGCAGAGATAAAGGCTCGCTCCCAGTAAATGAGCCCCAATAAATGCATGCAGCACCGTACCATAATTAAACCATGGTTGACTATTAGAAAGAGACTTCTGCTGTTTGAGGCGTTAATATATTCGGTAAACTAGATTTTCACTCATTTACTGGTTTCACCTTTTATTGTAGCTCTGCTCAAAAGAAGCTTCCATTCACTGCAAAGCAGCATTTCAACAAACGGATGGAAGCCAAAACTACTATTTCAATCAAAAATATATTTACTCAGATCAATAATAACAATACAGCACCTTAAATTAATTAATTTATTGATCATCAGTTATCTAATCTCAGCTAATAAAGCAGTTTACCCTTCAGGTCATAAATCTATTTAGTGTATATAGATATATATATTTTTTCCTGATATCATGAGACTAATGAATTAAACAAGAGTAATTCCGTTAAGTGCAAAACCCTTCCTTATCCAGAGATTAGAAGCCAAAATTTGAATGAACATTTAACGTGTCAGGCTTAGTCTTAGGCCAATCAGCATTAAATTGGCTGATTTTCAGGTGATTGGTCACTACCGACAACCTGTCGGTGATTACGGAGACAGTGGAGCTAAGTCTAAAGCAAAAGGAAATCGTTTCGAGAACACTGGGAGAGGGGAACCGGCTAGCCGTGAATAATAATAATCAACCAAAACTTTCGTGACCCCCACGCAGTATTTCCGTGGAGCCCCTACGGCTTCCGGACCCCCTGTTGAAGACCTCCGGTCTAGAGCTAAATTAAAATGGCTTTTTTAAAGCCAACCACACACCTCTTAAGAGCATTCCCCACTCCATCCTTTGTTATTTTCTCTTTCATTTTGATTAAAAAAAGCTTGACTGTGCTGCATCTTTCACTAAAACAGTGGTCAGTTCCTGATACTTTCTCATCTCATAATGTTTTATCCTTTATCAGGGGCGGATTTAGTAAATTTGGGG